CCAGGTTAGATGATGCCAGGGGCTTTTTCCATCTAGGCTAAGAACTTGGGATGTTTGTGATTGTTTGTGACTCACCAGAATGACTTAAGCCCTTTTTAGCACTCCACGTAGTCTCCGGCATCCCGCCAAGGCAAGCATGAGGAGAAAGTCCTCCAGCCAAGTGCCAAGCACCCACACCAGGGACACCCTTATCGGGTTAGGGTCAGGGCACACCTGCCACCATCCACCAGCCTGACCATGGGGATTCAGTAGACAGGTAGAAGCTCCAAGATGTTTACCCAAGGTTGAGGAACATGCAGAGTGCTCAACAGAAGCAACAGACCAGGTGATACACACAAAGTGGTGGTGGGAGGGAGTGGGGAGCCCAGAGCTTGGAGAACATGATTTCATTTACTGATCATTATTACACTGTTCTCTTCACCTCTCCCCCTTCATCCCTGAGGTGCTAAACTCCATGACCTTGCTGCAGCAGCTCTGGAACACAACCAGGAGGCTGGCCACCACCTCAACTTGCTGGGGAATCTCCTTTTCCTTTTGTCCTATCCTGCCAGGTACTGGTGGCATGCACCTGCCATCCTAGCTACTCTAAAGGCTGAGAACTGAGGATATTAGTTCAAAGCCAGCTCAGGCAGGGAAGGCTATCAGACTTTTGTTTTTTTTTTTTTTTTGTCGGTCATGGGGCCTGAACTCTGGGTCTGGGCGCTGTCCCTCAGCTCTTCAGCTCAAGGCTAGCACTGTACCACTTAAACCACAGTGCCACTTCCGGCTTTTTCTGCTTATGTGGTGTTGAGGAATTGAACTCAGGGCCTCATGCGTGCAAGGCAAGCGCTCTACCACTGAGCCACCTTCCCAGCACCGGCTATGAGATTCTTTATTCCTAATGAACCAGGAAAAAGCCAAAAATGGAGGTATAGCTCAAGTGGCAGAATGCTAGCTTTGAGGGGGGGAAAAAAGCTTGCAGCCCTGAGTTCAAGCCCTAGCACTAGCACAAAAAGAAAAAAAGAACATTTAAAAAAGTTTCCTTTCCTGCTGCCTACCCCCTTGAGGGCCTTAACTAATTTTTCACCCAACAAGAGTAGGGGCCAGTCTCTCTCCCAGTGTCTTCCTCAAGTAGGCTCAGTTTAAATATTTACATGAATACAAATTCAGCTCAGGCTGAATTTGTAGGCTGGGGGCCAGGAAGCAGTAAGCAGCTGTGCCTGATGGAGCTGGGGGTGCTGGGGGCTCTGGGGGCACCCACTCCACCCAGTGTGGGAAGAACTGGATGAGCTGCCTTCTCACGGGGCTTCAGCCTGATTTCACCGATGGACTGTTCTTCCCCCCCCCCCCCCCCCCAAGGAAATAACACAGTCTCCATTCCCAGTTCCACAGACCTCCAGTTATAGGGTTTGGTGTGTTGTTCCCTCCACCCTGCCCCTGGTTATTGAGGCTTGAATTCAGAGTCTAGGTGCTACCTCTGAGCTACTTTCACTTAAGGTGGCACTCTACCATGTGAGCCACAGCTCCATCTCTAGCCGTTTAGTGGTTGCTTGGAGTTTCAGACTTTCCTGTCCAGGCTGACTTCAAACTTTGATCCTCAGATCTCAGCTTCCTGAATAGCTAGAATTCGACAGACATGAGCCCTAGGCTCTAGTTCTTTTTAATTACCTTCTTCATCTTTCCTCTAACACATGGTCCAGCCCATCTGACATCCAGTATCTAGGCCAGTACAACTCAAAGTGCCACAGGTGGTTGATAGAGAAACTCCCTAGAAAGCCTAGATTACTGAAACTGAAGTGTGGTGAGAAACGCTCCCCGCTCCCCCCCCCCCCACACACACACACACATAACGCGCCCATTCTGGCTATGTAGGCTGGGGTGAGGCCTGGGATTCTGCATTTCGAGAAAGCCAGCAGGTAACTATGGGGCCTTACTTAGTGAGGCTGCAGGCCTGTCTGTGTTCTTCTACTGGAGCCACACACCCCACTTCTTTGAGGGTGGGGTGGGGGTATTACTTTGTTTTTTAGATAGGGTCTCTAGCTAACTGCTCAGGCTGGTCTCAGGCGTCCTGGTTATTCTGAAGTTTGCCCCAGCAGGCTGCATTCTAGAAACATTCAGGACTTCACACACACACACACACACACACACACACACACACACACACACACACACACACACACAGAGCTCATCCTGGCTGCCTAGGGGCCTTCTACCAAGCAGAATTCTCACAGGGCTTAGAAGAGCTGAGTTCCACAATTCACAGTCCTGTAGTCAATGGGTCAAAAACCAACCCATGAGGAACACGTGCCTATCTACTGATTGTTGGGCTTTCCTGGTCCCTGATGATTTTTTAAGAACTCTGTTGACATCAATTCAAAATCTGGTGTTTAGACCCCAGGCCCACAATCCAGGAGTCCTAAATTAGGTCTGGCCACTTGTCCCCACATGCCAAATAAAGAACCATGGAGAAGGGCAGAGAAAGGAGATTTATTATATCACAGCTATGGGAAGACAGCACTTCAGTACATCTTCAACCATCTTCCCAGGTGCAGACATCCTCCTCAGGTTAAATAGAATTGGGGGCTGGAGGTGATAACGGTTTGCAGCGTTAAAACAGTCCCAAGTTGCAAGGAAGGCCAGGTTGACCATTCCCTCCGTCTTTGTCCTTGGAGGAGCTCCAGAAACCTTATTACCACTTTATTACTGGAACAAAACAGGAACAAGGTGGTCCCTTCAATTTTTAACTGCTTTCTTTTTGTTTTTGTGCCTGTTCTGGGGCTTAAACACAGGCCCTAGGGCACTGTCCCTGAGCTAGCACTCTACCAACCAAGCTACATTGTTACTCCAGCCTCTCCATTTTCCTGCCCAGGCTGGTTTCAAACCACAATCCTCAGATCTCAGTCTCCTGAGCAGCTAGGATTATAGGTGTGAGCCACAGGCCCCTGGCTTGGCTGCTGCTTTTAAGAAGGCATTGCCTATCTGAAGGGTAGTTTAAGGTGATGGCGACCAACTTGCCTGTAACAGAGAACAGCTTAGATCAAAGGGCAAAGATAGAAAGTTGGGGGTTTCTAGTTAATTTACAGGGCCCCACAAAAGCATTTCTTAAGTTGTCTCTTACAAATTCCCATATCGTGATATTTACCCTTAAGAACACACCTACACAACTGTGGCAGTCAGCTTTCCTTGACTGTGACAAATTACCCGACACCCACAACTTAAAAGAAGGAAACGGTTCTATGGCTCATGATTCCAGGGGTGGCCTCCTGGCTTTTTCAAAGGGCCTGTGGTGAGGCAAAGCATGGTAGAAGGCTGTGGCAGCAAAGCTGTGGGTAAGTCGGGAGGGAGGGGCACGAGCACCAGGGACAAGGTGAACCTTCCAGGACATACCCCAGTGCCCCAGTGACCTGCTCCACCCAAATCATAACCACTATCCTCCCTTCAAAGGAATCTTGTATCAACGGCAAACATTCCCTATTCTCCCAGCCCCACCAGGCCCAAGCTAGAACCTGCTTTGTATCTCCAAAGATCTGTCTATTCTGGACATTTCCTCCAAATAGAATCGACAATGTGGGGTCATTTGTGGCAGCCTTCATTTATTTAACAATGTTTTTGAAGGTCATCCCCGTGGTAGATGGGTTAGTACTTTTACCTTTCCACTGGATGGGTGTCTCCCATATTCTTTTCCATCCCTTGGTGAGTGGGTGGGTGCACACTAGGTCCCTCCCACTTTTTGGACTTCCTGGTTTACTGTGCGCACTCACTATGGGTTTCTGTGCCCACGTATCTATTCTCACCTCTCATCCCTCTGGTCTCTTTGAAGAGAATTGACAGAATCCCATGGCTGAATCTTGGAAGCCATCAGCCTCCAACCTTTGCACTTTTCAGTCACATGACTCTGGCCCAGGCTTGGCACCCCAAGCATCATTCCCCACCCCAGTGTCGGGCTCTCCTGCAACTGGGGATCAAGGCAAGCAGGAAAGACTTTCTGGAGGAAGTAGGGCTGGGGCGGGGCAATGGACTTCAACTGGGAGAACATGAAGAGTTGGTGGGCAGGTGGGGGTGTCTGGGGGACAGTCACACGGGGGCCAAAGCTCAGAGCCTTCGCTGTTTGGTGATGGTCCCTCTAAGGCTGCAAAGTGCTTGTGACTCACGTGGAGGACGCGTCCGCAGGCTGCAGCTGAGGCTCTCGCGTTAACCCTCACCGGCCTGGCCATGGAAAACCCCCAACCTAAGCTTCAGGTGTTGGCCCGCGGCCGGGGCCCGGGCCACGCCGACTCCCCGCTCCTCCAGGCTCAGCTGCCCAGCGGAGTGTCGTTCCGATTGGGCCCGTCCTCGGCCCCGGGGGCCGCCCTCCCGCCGACGGCCCCAGACCTCCACCCCACCCCGCTCCTACCGTCCAGGTTCCAGAAATATGTCATCTCTCCACCGAAAGAACAACACACAAAAAGAAGCTTCCCCCGCGGCCGCGTTAGTGCTGCCCAGCGGCCCGGGCCGGAGGAAGCAGGCGGGTCCCGGGGCTGCGTCCCAGGCCGATCCGACCCTGAGGTCCCCGGTTCCGGGCCCACCCGCCCCTCGGGTCCCGCGCCCGCCAGGCTGAGCGCCGAGCGCGCGCGGAGCACGGCGGGGCCGGGCGCCGAGACCAAGCAGGCCCAGGGCGGGCGCGAACCCGCGCTCCCAGCCCGCACCCTCGGGAGCCGCGCGTGCCAGCCTCGCACCTCCGGGACCCTCGTCGTGCCCCGGGCCCCCGCGGCGGCGGCCTCCGAGCGGGACGACGCCCCCGCTCCAGGAAGTGCCCGCCCCGCCCCGCCTCGCCCCGCGTTCCCCCCACACCCGCCCTCGGCCGGAGGGAGGAGCCCGAGCCGCCGCCGCCGCCGCCCGCCGGCCCGGGAGGAGGACCGGCTTCGAGCGAGCGAGCGATCGGCGGCGCACGGAGCGGGCATGGCCGCGCGGGCAGCGCCCTGACCCGTCCCGCGCCTCGGGCCCCGCCGAGCGGCGCCGCGCCGGGCGATGCCCCGCGGCCAGGCGCGCGGGTAACGGCCGCCGCGTGGTGAGCAGCGGGGCGCGCGGTGAGTGGGGCCCGGCGGGCGGGGCGGCTGGCGCGGGCGGTCAAGTTCGGTCTCGGGGTTCGAGCCGGTGGTGCGGGTGGCGGGGTCGGAGCGAGCCCGAGGCCCCCTTCGCCCTCCGAGCCCGCCCGGGGCTCCGCGCTGGGGTGGCGCCGCCCCGGCCCGGCCACGCGGGGGCGCTCCGCCCGCGCCCTGACCGCGGGGACCGAGGGACGGGGCGGGCCCGGGAGGGAGGGCCGCCTGGCCGTCGGGCCGGGCCCTGCGGTTTAGGGGTCGGGTGGGAGCCCCGGTCTCCTGCGATCGGCCCGGAGGGCGTCCGGGGTCCGCCGCCGCTGCAGGCGTGAGGCCGGCCGGCCCCGGGCCCCCGCGCGCCCCTCGCCCCACTTCCCCCTCATCCCTGCCTGGCCCGGGATCTGGCAGCTCCCCTGCCCGAAAAGAAAGGGGGAGTGGAGCCGAGCAGCGTCCCAGGAGTCGGAGTGTTTGCAAACTAGTTTTTGCGTAAAAGCTGTCTGGCACCTGTGTGCTAAAAGGATGAAAGGCCCCTGCTTTCTCGCCGGTCTTGCAGGGTGCTCCTTGTTAGGAAGAGGGGGGGACAGGCTTGCCCCTCCCCTTGGTCCCCAGCGCAGCCCCACCTCCGGCTCAGCGAGCTCTGCTGTGGGCGAGGGGCCACCTTGGAGCGGGAGGGAGGGTGCTGGGGTGACAGACCGCTGGGCATCGAAGGTTCATCTTGCTGCCGCCTCCTCCTGCCTCCCAGGCCCTGGGGGAGGGGGCCAGGGCCAGGGGGCTGGGTGACTCCTGTTTTGTCTGCCGCTAGGTTTTGGTTATGGAGGGGATGGAGACTATCACCGAGAGGGGGTGGGGGTCGCATCCACCACGCTGTTGTCTTACAGCTTCTGTGGCTGGTGGCTCCCTGGCCAAGAAAGATCTGGGCTGAGAAGCCCCAGCCCTGACCCCAGGGTCAGGTCCTCCTGCCAGCCTCCCCTTCCTCTGTCCACTGCTTGGCCTTCCACACAACCTGGGATGCCACGTTAGGAACAGGACACCCAAGAGCCCAGCCCCCTCCCTGTGGAGACCTGGAGGACACCGAGGGCACTGTGGGAGCGCCCTCCCCCCCCAATCTGGACAGGGTGTCCATCTCATTCGGTTGCATCCCTCACTGTCCAGCGTGGAGGATGTTTGGATCCCCTGGATCCTCCCTGGCCACTTGGCTTTGATTCCTTTCCGTGGTAAGGTTGGGGACTTCTGTCTGGATGGATGGTGGGGGGGCCCCTTCACCCACAAGAAGACAGGCATTCTGATTGGGGTCTATAAGCTCCATTAGCTGAGACCTGACTTACTGGCCATCACAGTGGGGTCATGGGAGACATGGCTGTGCCCTCAGGTCATCTGTAAAATGGGCTCACCGCCAGGGCTACCGGCTCCGGGCACAAACAAGAAGGAGTGGTTTTACTGACGTCCTGGCGGGGTCGTGATCTCTAGGACTGCCCCTGACGGGTGGCACAGCTCACTGGAGTGAAGGGGGGCATCCAGGCACACTTCCACATGGCAAGACCCAGAGACAAACAACACTGATGCTGGGGTTCTCCTTGCCCCTGGCACTTCCTGCCTTGGTGCCTGCTCAGCTCCCATTGGGTTTTTTCCATCTGCAAAGGAAGCGGACTTTGACGTGGTCCTGTTTTCAGGGGCCAGGAAACAGGGCAGTGTTCTGCAAAATGAGGATGCTTGGTGTGCCACGCTATGGATCTTAGGTGGTGTTTGAAGGGCTTCCCCTCCCCCGGAATAGCAGGAGAATTAAAAACAGGGGCGTCCCTGATGAAGAGGGAGCCTCAGTTTCCCTGCGTGTGCAGTTGGGAGTTATCTGTGTATCTACACCCTCATTCGGGCAGCTGTGTGTTTCTTGAAAGGTAGTTGTGAGACCCGATTCCATGGCAAAGGGCTTGGTACTGGCTCTGTGACCCGTGCGGGAGAGAATGGCTCTCATTGGCTGTGTTCATGAAAGTATTAGCCTGTTTGAATCCTTTTTGGGATCTGCTCAGTCCCAGCCAGCCCCCTGGGCCCCTCCTGGGGCAGAGCGGGTGATCTGCTCTCACCTGGGGCCGGCCTCAGAGGACACAAAGACAACAACTTGGTCAGAGACAAAGGAGCTTTCTAGCAATTCTCTCCCTCCTCTCCAGGGGGAATCTGTGCCAGGTAAGGTCCTTACTGCAAAGCCTCAGGCCATGCTCAGATGCCACGGCCACTCAGGGGTCCCTCTGCCCTCCTCTGGCCCTTCCACACCACTGGGGCTGCCGTGTCAGGAGAACACCCAAGAATCCATTCCCTTTCCCCTAGAAAGGACGTGGCCTTAGGATCCTGTGGGCTTCGTGGGGGCCTGGAGGCCCAGTCACCCCCACAGTCTTGACAGGCAGTAGCTGGACAGGGTGACCATTTTATCTGATTGTGCCCACCTCTCACCATCATGATGGACGCTGTCTGTCTGCAGTGCCTCCTGGCCCTCAGCCCCGTGTCTTCCGCCCTCCGTGGCCACCTGGCTCTCAGGGTCCCGTGGCTATTGTGTGTCTCCATCACACCTTCCTGGGGTCCGGGAGGACTCCTGGCATGCTTATTTCTCAAGGTGTTTACCACTTTGAAGCCCTCTGTCCACCTGTGTATCTATTTACTGCCCCTCCTGGTCACAGGGAATCAGCTCTACCGAAGGGCAGGACCAGGGCTGGATCCCTGCACTTAGAGCAGCGCCTGGCACAGAGCAGCTGCTCAGTAAATGCTTGTGTGAAGAGGGTGTTGGCCCCTTGGAGCAAATTGAGCCCAGTGGCGCTGGGGGTGGAGCCTGGAAGAGCTCACCCTGGAAGTCGTCGGGTGTGGGCATGCTTGGTGCTGGGAGTTGGGTACCTAGCAAAGGGCAGTGTACTCACCGGTGGAAAAAGCCATGGGGAAGACTGTGTGTCAGAGAAGAAGGGGTTTGTCTAGCACCAAAAGCCTGGGGGCCAGGAAGGTGGAGGAGGTAGTGGCTGGTAGCTGTTACCACACGGTGCCAGGGCACTGAATGTGCTGGGAAGAGCCCCATCCCTGCGTGGCCTGTGCTAAGTTTCTTGACATGTCTGACTTCTTTCCTTCTCTCCTTACTTCCTTCTTTTGAGTTAGGCCTGACAATTTTTCCTACCCCTGGGAGAGCCTCCCCCCGCCCCCCACGTTGGCTCAGGGGACAGGATGCTGGGAACCTAGCTGCTCTGGCTGAGCAACACGTTCTGGGTGGCTTCAAACAGCAGAGATTTATTCTCTTCCAAGTTCTGGAGGCTCTATGTCTGAAATCAAGCTGTCAGCACAGCCACTGCTCTGCCCAAAGCTTCCAGGGAGAGCCCCACCCCTTCCAGCCCTTAGTAGGCCTGGTCCAGCATTCATTGGCTTGTGGCCACATCACAGTCTTCTTCACATAGGTCCTCCTTGTTGTTGTTGTTGTTTTGTTTGTTTGTTTTTTCAATCTTGGGGCTTGAACTCAGAGCCTGGGCACTGTCCCTGAGCTTCTTTTGCTTGAGCCACAGCGCCACTTCCAGCCTTTTCTGTTTATGTAGTACTGAGGAATCGAACCTAGAGCTTCATGCATGCTAGATAAGCACTTTACCACTAAGCCATATTCCCAGCCCATGGCTCCTCCTTCTTCCCACTGCCGCCTTGCTTCAAGATACCAGGGGAACTTGGTTTATTTGCAACTGTAGTGGCCTAACATTTCCTAGTTCATGTTCTGAGGGACTGCTGGTTATCTTTGTACTGGGGGAGGGTATCCACAGTTCCGCTTATAACAGATGGACTCTTTAACTCTTGTTCCTCAGTTCTCTGATCTGGAAAATGGGGAGATAATAGCAAGGCCCATTGGGCACACAGGAGCAGAAGAATCTTGTTGGTACTGTGATCCTGTCTTTTCTGGGGGTACTTACTGGGAGCCAGGGCCTGGGGCTGAAGTGCAGGTGTCTGTACCCTTGGCCCAAGGGACTGGCCTCAGGCGGGCGGGGCTGCTTTCAGCCTGGAGGCCCCCCCCCTTCAATGTGGCCAGGTGTGGTAGGCAGTCTGAAGGCCACTGGGCTGTAAGGACCCATCATAAGAAGATGATAAGGGGCTTGGAGGCATGGCTCAGTTGGTAGAGTGATAGCCAGTGAATGAAAGCAAAAGCATCAGGTACTGAGTTCGAGTCCTGGTCTCAGACCTAAAAAGAAGAAAAGGAAGGAAGGTGAGGAGGATCCTCTGCAGAGAGACAGGATAAGGGTGCTGGGCACCCACAGAGGGAACCTGGTGCTCGGGTGTCTTGCTGATTTCCAGGCCTTTTGAACCCAGAGACTGTGGGTGGAGCTGAGGCTGGAAGGATGGAGAGGTCTTTATCGCCCCCCTCTCCAAGGCTGGAAGGGTTTCACGGGCAGGGAAAATGAGGCACAGAGAGGGAAAGGACTTGCCTAGGTTTTCAGAGACCCAGGGCTCCTCCATTACTCTTGCCCTGCGGTACCCTCCTGTTGGGTGTGCACATCCCAGGGGAGAATCCCCTCCCCAAAGTCCCCCACCACTTAAAGTGAAGCCATGTGGTCACCAGGCCTGCAACCCTCCATTAGCCTGACCAGACCTCAGGTCCCCAAAGTGCAAAGTATACCCTGCAGCCCAGAAAACCTCTGCACCAGCCCCTGGGCTCTCAGGGAGGTGGGGGGGGGGCACCACCAGCACACTTGGCACAAAACGTTGAGGTCCAGAAGGCAGGGGTGGCAGGGCAGGACCCAGCCTTGTCTTCCTGGGGTGGCTCCTTGCCAACTCTGGGGGGGGGGGTAGGCCTGCAGTGATAGGCTGGGCAGGTCTGGGGGGGCGGTCCCAAAGGAGGCCCCACCTCCAAGGGCCAGACTTAGTGATGAGGTGTGGGTTACCCAGCTTAGTGTGACAGAATCTGGGGACCTGCGGGCGCATCAGGACTGATCCCTGATGCAGCCTCATGGCCTGGCTGTCTGCATCTCTATTTATCCCCCTGATGG